GTGTGTGTGTGTGTGTGTGTGTGTGTGACGAGTCTCTCTTCTCTCTGTGGTTCTGCAGTCAGGTGTGGTGAGTTTCTCCAGGACTCTGTCAGGAGACACGGACACACAGATCCACACGGAGATGAAGACCATCACATACGAGTCCCTGCAGGTGTGTGAGCTCACACTCATCTCATCCACCACAAACACACTGAAGAATCACATCTCAGACACGCTCCTTCAAGACAGCAGTGAGATTAAACGAAGATGTTTGTTTAGATATTTCTAATGTTACAAAATGTTTCTATTTCAAATAAATGCTGTTCTTTTGAACTTACTATTCATCTGTGAATCCTGAAATATAAAATGTATCACGGTTTCCACAGAAATATTGTGCAGCACAACTGTTTTCAACATTGATAATAATCAGAAATGTTTCTTGAGCAGCAAATCAGCATATTAGAATGATTTCTGAAGATCATGTGACACTGAAGACTGCAGTAATGATGCTGAAAATACAGCTGCGCATCACAGAAATAAATTACAGTTTAACAGATAATCACACAGAAAACAGCTGTTTTAAAGTGTAATAATATTTCACATTTTGACTGTATTTTTGATCACATAGATGCAGTTTTAGTGAACAGAAAAGACTTCTTTCAGAAACATTAAACATCTTGAATGAGGTGTGATGCTGTGTTTTGAGTGTTGTTGGATCGTTGCAGGGCGAGACGGATGGAGACGCTGATGATCCTGGCATTCTGCTGAGCGCTCAGACCATTACATCAGAAACCACCAGCACCAGCACCACCACACACATCACCAAGGTACTGACCGCTGCTGCATTACTGACCATCAGAACCATCCGCGTAACGGCTCTCTGTCTCTGTCAGACGGTGAAGGGCGGCATCTCAGAAACACGGATTGAGAAGAGAATCGTGATCTCAGGAGATGCAGACATCGATCATGACGAGGTGAGACCTTCACTGAATCTTTAATACGGTTCCTTCAGGGTCATTCTATCAAATGCTGCTGTTTCCAGACTTTTAAAGAAATTCAAGTATAATTATTCCTTCAGATCAGTTTATGGTGAATTCCATGCTGATATTTCTACAAAAAACATCATGCTAATAATGTTGACATTTAATGATCATCCTCTAAACAAACATAAAACATAGGATGAATATTGTAATATAAGACTTTTAACTTGTGCTTTTAGAGTTTACGTCCTGAAAGAAAGATAAAAAAATTCAATAAAAATAAATAAATATATTACATGAGTTGCTGGATTTTATTCAGAAAAATTACTATTATCGTAACATACTAAAAGTTGATCAGCTGATGATTTGTTTACAGATGGTGACTGTGGATTTATAGAATGATCCTGTATGAACTCTAATGACTGGATTCAGCAGTTTGCATCAATTTTTATCATAATTGTGACAGCAGTAGTTGGGGGCGTGGCTTGTGATGGTGATGTGTGTTGAGGGGTGTGGCCTGTGATTGTGATGAGTGTATGTTGGGGGTGTGGCCTGTGATTATGTGGGTGTTGAGGGGTGTGGCCTGTGATTGTGATGAGTGTATGTTGGGGGTGTGGCCTGTGATTATGTGGGTGTTGAGGGGTGTGGCCTGTGATTGTGAGGCGTGTATGTTGGGGGCGTGGCCTGTGATGGTGTGTAGGTGTTGAGTGGTATGGGTGTGATGGTGTGTGTTGGGGGTGTGGCCTGTGGGGTGGGGGTGTGTGTGTTGGGGG